GCGCCTGTTTGGAAAAAGTGTCATTTGATCTTTGGTGTTTTTCGGTCTGCATCAAATGTTAGAAGTGCTTTTGAATCAGGTTAGTCACCGCACTCGTTTTGTTTCGTTTCGTTTTGCTTCGAATGTTTTTCAGCTCAAGTGAAAGATGCACACTCTGTTTTTCTTGGAAGCGGACTTCGGCCTCGCCTGTGCAAGGTAGAAGTTAAGAGTTCTTCTGGAAGGCACCTGTGCCAAGAAAGCATCAAAGTTACCTGTTTGGACCAGATCCTATTTGTCCGAAAAGTCCGCCTGCAGCTCAAAGGTGGAAGTGTTCTAGCTGCTGTGTCTGGAACATCTGTTCGGCCACCAGTGCGCCGATGTCCACTTTGGGTGCGGACCAACTGCAGCACACGCGGCTCCAATTGTGGGGCCGAACAAGCTAAGCAATTTGGCTTCGCTTGAGTGGCCCCCCTCTGTATGTCGACGTGCCGGCAATGTTAGGAGTCCCGAGGGGAGAAGAGCACAGCGCAGATCGATGTAAGGCTTTGCCGGTGGAAGCCGTTCAGCAAACTACGAAGCCACAGCGACCGATCCGAAGCAACAAAGAGCCGACGCTCTGAGCCGCCCAAAGCAGCAGGTGGAGCCAAATCCAAGCTCCGGCAGGTGTGGCTGCTCAGATGGGACGGATCCCTGCTGCGACCTGATGCTGGTGGCTTCGAGCTTGCACCCGGCGCAATCCTGCAGTGGCTCATTCCATTCCAACTCTTTTTGTTTTTGGTCCTGCTCGTTTGCCCAGATGTCCGCTCGGCATGGCGGCTGGAATCGAGGCGCGTTGGGAAGCTGGGCAACATGGACGACACATCCGCAGCTGCAAAGCAGGTTGCCGATGCCATGAAGGAAGTCTCGGATTTTTGGATTCGTAACGACAGCGAAGACTATGACGGCACAGAGATCATTGTCACAGGCTTTTCTGGACCTGATCGAAAAAAGGACCTGCCTCAGGGCCTTGGGCATTCTGACTGGTTCGGACGAGAACTTGTTCACTGCAGCAATTGCAGCCAAGATCTAGCAATTCGATATGAAGAGCAGTTGAGGCGGTTTCGACTGGAAGGCAGGTGAGAAAAAGAACCCGCTTGATGACAGTGCACCAACTGTGTTCAAGGACAACTGGCGGCGTGCCGAAACCACAGGGCCAAGATCCCCCTCCGGTCGCTCCAAACAGCCGAGGTCATGGTTAGAGTCTGGCCGTGCTGAAGCCAGCATCTACGCGTCCCAGACTGCTTGGCGAGTGCAACAAGGCCAAAAACAAGGGATCCACGTGCAAAATACACTCTGCTGAGTGCAATAGAGAGGTGCGGAGTTCTGCCCATGCTTGCCGTTGAGCATGTCGAAGCTCGAGAAATGGCGTTGGCCGCATCCTTGCTCAGCTGTGAACGGCAGGAGTAAAGAAAAGTTGTCTGTGGAAAAGTTGTCTGTCTGTCGGTCGCTGCGCTCACGCTTCCTGTCTCACCTTGCGGTGAAAGTTATCAGTGTCAGAAGCGTGTCCAACCGGAGTTTTCCTCACGAGTTTTCACGAAGAATGGTGTTTCCCTAAACTTTCCTGAAGCATGATGAACATCAGAGTGTTTTCAGTTTGTTTGCTGTGAGAGCGGACTTCTAGACGAAGTCCGGGGAACACCTGGGCCGTGTAGCAGAGTTGCCAGTGCAGAGAAACCGTTAGGAGTCCTTAGGACTTACCTCGGAAGTGAGTGTGCTGAAGTCTCTGTCCGCGCCCCGTTTCACTTGGCTCAAGACTTGCACTGCGTGACAAGCGCGTGGTGAACAGTTGGTTGCGAAGAAAGGTGTAAAAGTGCTGTTAGCTTTCACTGCTGTAGCCTTGCGTGACGTAGTCAGTCAGTCGGCTTGCACCTCCTTTTACTAAACCTAGAAGTGTGCCTCAAGGCGCGTTTGGGTTTTAACGTGGTAGCGGAGCTCAAGGTTGCTCCTCAAAGCCATGGACCCACGAGCCGAGCCTAGCCGCGACCGTTCCCCAAGAGGACGGAGTTCAGGGCGAAGTGCTAGTCGTGCCAGTGGAGTTTCTTCTGGCTTTCCCTCCACCCCTCGAGAGTTGAGTGCACCTGGCTCACGGACTCGTGGAAGGTCCCTCCCTGCTCGGAACAGTCCGACAGCACACCGGCCTGTGAGTAGACCCAGACCTCTTGTGAGTGCAGGTCAAGTGCCTCAGGTGCCTTTTCCACAGGTACCTCAACAGGTTCCGTTGCGGCAGGGTTTTCAGCAGCAGCAGCAGCCTCAGTTTGGAACGCAACCAGCTTTCCCTCACGGAGGAGGGATTCCGCAGCAGGCAACTGTGCCTAGTCCAGAAGACAACACTGTCAACCTTTTCAGGCAGATGTTGCAAGCCCAGGATGAACCGATCCGAGCTCAGCAGGGCCAGATTTCGCAGCTCACCGAGATGGTGAAGACGCTCGCCGTTGCGAGTGCAAACGCTGCAAGTTCGGCCGCAAGTGCAGCTCCTGTTGCTGCAAGTTCGTCCCAAGGGACGCCCGCTGAAGCTCTTGGAAGCCTGGGTGCCATCAGAGTTGACTCTGATGGTGTTGTGAAGATGGATGTGGACACAGGCGTGCGCAGCAACAGGGCGGAAAACTACATTCCGTCCCTGCCAAAGTTGGCAGCAGACAAGATGAGATCGCGCCATGAGGAAATCTCCACGTGGACCGCTTACCGCGAAGAACTGACCTCCTGGCTGTGTCTTTTAGACGACCGCTACGCGGAGGAACTGCAAGAGGCTGTGGAGAGCGGTGTTCAAGTTCAGCAGATCAGCCTCTCAAAGGGGAAGGCCGCTCGTTCCACTAAGCTGTGGTACCTCTTGAAGCAGGCTCTCGCTGGTTTTCAGCGAGGAGTTGACATAGCCAAGCTTGTCGAGTTGAGTCAAGGCGGTGCCGCGGCAGGGTACGACCTCTGGCGTGAGTTGAACAAAGAACTGTCTGTTAGGTCTCGTGTGGAGGGACAGGCGCTCAGAGAGCAGGCTCTCTTGATCGCGCCACCAAAGCACTTGAGACGGCCATTGGATATTTTTCGCCATATGATTTCTGATTTTGCTCGCTACCGCACGCTCGTTGCCAACAAGTACCCAGACCTTGAACTGCAGCAGGCTGATTTTATCAGCTGCATCTTGAAGCACCTTCATGATGATTGCAAGAAGTACCTTTTGTTGCATGGGTCTTTGACAACCTTGGAGCAGCTTGAGCGCGGTTTGTTTTTCTATGATGAGCAGCTTCGTGTTTTGAACTTTCACAAGGAAGCCTCGAACGCCAAGGGCTTTGCAGCTTTTGGTGCTGATCGTTCTGAGAAGGGTGAGCCCAAGGGTGGCGAGCCCAAAGGAAAAGGTCATGGAAAGGACCAAGGCAAGCATGGTGATAAAGGCAAAGGCAAGGACAAAGGAGGAAAGGGAAAGGACAAAGGCAAGGGTGGCAAGAAGGGCGGAAGAGCCCGATCTTCGACACCGGCTCCTGGGAAGAAGAAGCCGGGCACCTGCAACTACTGCCACAAGCCGGGCCATTGGGCCAACGAGTGCAGGAAGAGGATTGCAGATGAGAAGGCTGCTGCGACAGCAGCGGCGGCAACAGAGAGTGCTGCTCCCAAGGTGGCCCCTCCTGCGCCTTCCTCGACTGCGGCGCCAGCTCCCACTGCTCCAAAGGGTGCCGGGAAGATTGGCAAAGCGGCCCTCCTTATGTCGTCACTGTTGCCCGCGGCAGGGCAGATTTCTGAAGCAATGCCTGAGATGGGACAGTTTTTCACCATGACTGCCTTGATTTTCACGTTTTTCATGTTTTGCATGGTAGGATGCTTGATTTGTCGGTTGGTTGCATGCTTGAGTAGCCCACGGCAGTCATGTTTCACGTGTGCTTGCGTAGCCGTAGCAGTGATTGCTTTGAGCCTTGCTTCCGCGCCGCAGCCTCAGCTTCGTGCTCGGTCTTCAGAGTGCTTTGCTTTTCCAACTTTGGCACTTCCTGCAGTCACTAGGGACGACCCCTCGTATCTCTTGATTGATAGCGGTGGGAGTGTTCACCTTGTTTCCCAAGACATGCTTGGAGTGACTGCGAAGCTGGTCCGAGAGCTTGAGGTTGAGCCTCTCTTTGTAAGTGTCGCCAACGACCAGACTATGGAGATAACTAGGTACGGGTTGCTAGAGCTTTGGTTCCCTTGTTTCGAAGAGGGGCCCTCTGGAGCCCAAGCTTACAGAGAGATCCGAGTGCAGCTGGAAGCGTATATTGCCCCCAATTCGATAAGCATCCTTAGCTCAGGCATCTTGCAGTCTTTAGGCTTTAGGATCTTTCATTATGACTATGATCCTCAGTTACATGTTGCATATCCTCCGGGTGGTCTGCGCTTTGAGACAGAATTGTATGCCAACGCGTCGTGGCTGAAAGCTTGTACCTACGTTGAGCCTGATTCTACTGATGGTTCTGTGCAGTCGGTTGAGAAGGGAAGCGTGAGTTCTGTTGTCCCGTCTCACCCTGTAGGTGTAGGAGTAGGGCTTGAAACCGTAGGAGCGCGTGTTGGTCGGTCGGTCGCTTCGTCTCACCTAGCCCACTCTTGCTCTGAAGGCCCAGTAGAACCCGTAAGGGACGATGGCTGGGTCCGACCACGAGATGGACCAGGACATGGAGGACTCGACCTTCCGGGTTCTAGGGTTGCCGGCGGAGCAGACGGAGCTCTCCAACGACGTGGCGCTGCCGACTCCGGTCTCTTCCCCGGAATTGTCTCCTCACCTCACAGAGCCGGACTTGACGACAGCAGAGGTGGAAGAGAGTCCGCCGATGAGTTTTGCGAGCCTTTTCGAAAGCAGCCCGGTGGAGCCGCCGAGTCCGTTGATTCTGCCAGGATCGGAGACTTCTCCCCGTGGCGCTCTTACGAAGGCTGGTGCCAGGGCACTGGCCAGGCAAGACTCTCCAGACAGCCCGGCCGTGACTACTCCTGTGTACGCATGGCGTGGGAAGGTGGCTCCTCTCAAGCCACCCATGCCAGAGCCGGATACGACTCCTATGCCTCCCGTGCCGGAGCCGAGCACGGCCCATATGATCGTGGAAGCACAGGAGGAGGAGACGGACGAGGACGAGTGTTGGGGCAAGTGGAGACCAACGTCGAGCACCACAGCCTCCAACATTGCTCCTGGCTCGGGTGCGCCCGCAGCCAGCTCCCAGAGCGTCGTTATGCAGGGGAAAATTGCGGATCTAGCCCTGTTCAGGCAGCGAGCCAGCGAAAGGAGGCAGGGGGTGTTGTCCGCGATACGTGGGGGACAGCAGCCTGTGACTCCACCGAAGGCCCCAGGCTCAACAGCTATGGTGCCAAGTACGCCCCCAAAGGGGCCAGCCACACCACCGAAGTCTCCGATTACACCACCAAAGGGGCCAACCACACCGCCAAAGAGTCCGCCAAAGAGTCCGCCAAAGAGTCCGCCAAAGGCCGCGCCAGCGCCGCCCAACATCTGGACAGCGCCACCTCCACCGAGGGCCGCTCCGAAGGCTGCCGCTCCAAAGGTTCCGAAAGCAGCGGTCCCAAAGCCGCCGAAGGGCCCGAAGGCAGCGATTCCAAAGCCGCCGAAGGGCACGACTACAACAACGCCGGCTCCTTTGACAACGCCGGCTCCTTTGACAACGCCGGCTCCTTTGGCAACGCCGGCTCCTGTGGCAACGCCGGCTCCTGTGGCAACGCCGGCTCCTATGACATCGCCGGCCCCTGTGGGAACGCCGGTGGCAACAACAACACCTCCGGTGACGACGGTGGATCCTGTGGTGCCGACGCGCCACATGCCTTTTTCGGCCATAGAAGGAGTGCGCCTCGGCTTCATGGACACGGAGGGTGCCACGACCTTCGCCCGCAGAGCGTCCCTTGCAAAAGCAGCAGCCTCAAACGAGAAGGGGAAGGCGCCGAGACCACCGGCGCCACCGCCGGCGCCCAAGGTGGAGAATACGCCGGAGCCTCCTCGAGTTCCAGCTCAAAGGTCGGTGCCCATACATTTTCCCATGCAGATGCAGGTTCCGATGCAGATTCCGGTGCCCATGCAGATGCACGTGCCTCCGCAGATCCCCATGGATTACCGCTACAGGCCCTATCCGGCCCGACCGACCACAACACCGAGGCCGAGTACAGTACCAGTGGCGCCGAGTTCAGCGCCGATGCCAACGCCCACAGCAGCGCCTTCTCTCAGGGCGCCAGTTCCAACATCAAGGCCGTCGTTCATGCCGCCGGCAGCCACACCAAGGCCTATAACAAAGAAGCTGATGCCGGCATCCAAGCATGCGCCAAAGCCACGTGCAGTGGTGGGCGTTCACTACACCATCGAGATGCCCACGGAAGAGGAACGATTTGTGGCGCCGCCGACCAGTTTGGCAACGGCAGTGAAACCGGCACCTTTGGTTCCTCCGCTTGTAGACCTCGAAGAGGTCGAGGCAATCAGCAGCGACAGCGACCTGTAACTTTAGCCGCTCTTGAGCAGCAGCCAAAAGAGAGAGCTCGTGAAGTTCTCTTGCAGAGTGCCGCTGTCAGAGAAGTGCTGCCGGTAGGTTGTCCAGCGTGTGTTCAGCTAGGTAGTCCAGCTTGCGTGCAGGTAGGTTGCCCAGCTTGTGTTCCGGTAGGTAGTCTAGCTTGCGTGCAGGTAGGTTGCCCAGCTTGTGTTCCGGTAGGTAGTCTAGCTTGCTTGCAGGTAGGTCGTGCAGCCTGCGTGCCAGTAGGTAGTTCAGCGTGCATGTCGGTCGGTCGCCCATTGCTTGATTCAGGTGATGTGGGTGGTGCCATTGGTGTTGAAGAGCTAGAGCAGCTTTTTGATGTTGATGGTGATGACCGTGAAGGGTTAGAGAGAACCACCCCGAACAACACCAAACCCCCGGTAGACCCTGAAGAAGCTCTCCCCGAAAACATCGGTGCCGAAGCTAGATTGCGCCACCAACGTCAGGGTCATACCCCCTACTGGGGTGGCTGTCCTAGCTGTGTAAGATCTAAAGGGCTCTCACCCGCCCGAACACGCAAAAGTGTCGACCCACTTGAGGTGCAGATGGATCAATACTGGTATCGAGGCATCCGATTGATCGCTGTGGTCCACGTGCCGACATATTGTATAGGGACAGCTGCGACTTGTGTGGGAGATAACCGAAAGGTCACGGTGGGTAAGCTAGTCAGATTCCTCAAATCATTCGGCCTTAAAGAGGTTCATGTTGTGCACGACGGGGAACCGCTTTTAGCAGCTATGGCAGCCGAGGTCGTTGAGATTACAGGTGGGAGTTCAGTTTCTACGAAAACCTCGCCTAACAGACACGCCCCGGTAGCTGAGAGAGCGATCCGAACGCTTAAAGAGACAGCTTTGGCCAACGAGCTTCACGCTAAGGGTGTGAGTGGCTTGAAATTGTTGGCAAATGAGGAAGCGATGGAATTGCTTCACAGCCACGCGGCTGCTTCACACAACCGGTTTGGAACGTCACAAGGTCAACTGTTGAGTCCTTTGCAGCGAGCTTTGGGTGAGAGTCACACGCCTCACTTGTTGTTTCCTTTCGCTTGCATCATGTACATTCAGCCCCAAGAACACCTTGCATCACAAGTTGATGGTCGATACGACATTGGTGCCTATCTCGGCCCCGTGATTGGTGGGCAAGGGCATCACTGCATGATCAGACTCTCAAATGGGTCTATGAAACGATGCGTCGCCCGGGCTCTCAAGATGGCCTACCCAGTGACGTTCTCGTCGAACTTGTTACCCACTATCGCCGAGGCTAATCCTGATGAGCCTGATTATGAAAGCCTACCAGGGGTGGCCCTACAGAGGAAAGCAATCCCGTTGCCGCAACCGGCGCCTGAATGGCTTGAAAACAACAAAACGGCACGTTGTCCGGGATGCTTAGGTAGATCGCGCTTCCACTCTAGGCGTTGCAAAGTTCGCTTTCGTGATTACATCAGGGATACGCTCGGTGATCTTGACAATCCTAAACAGCAACAAGCCCCTGACAAGCCTCAAGTAAAAATCAACCCGAACCCTGAAGTTGTGGAGTTTGAAGAAGAGAGCTTGGACTACGAGCCCAGTCTTCCTGGGTCTCCTGTTCCTGAGGATCTGCAGCACCTGGTGCCCGAACCCTCACAAGCAGCCCAAGACTCTGAGCTCCCTCAGGAGTATCTCCCTGGTGGGGACGTTGAGATGGACCAGGTTGATATGGACGACTACACTGTGCCCATGGATGTTGCTCAGGTCCCGGATGTCCTTGACAGTACGAGCATGCCTCAGTTCATGTTCTCAGTGATTCCGGACCAGAAGCATCACCTGAGTCCTGTTGATTACGGTGAGGTCGGCTTGTTTGCTGCTCAGCTTAAGAGAAAAGCACCCGCTCAGCACAGTAACCCCGATGAGGGGGTAGCCATGCCTTTCGGTGATCGGGAGGTGTGGGTCATCAAGCCCACTTCTGTGGTTGATGATGTCAGTGGCTTGCCTTTGGATCCTGAGGAAACTGCAGAAAGAGGTGTCTGCTATGCGCAACTTGGGTGTCGGCAACGCCCGAACCTATGATGAGATTAAGACCCACTGCCAGGAGACAGGTGCCAAGATCATTAAGTCGCGTTTTGTCTTCACTGACAAGGTTGATGTTGACGATCAGCACATTGTGCGTGCGCGCCTTGTTGCAAAAGACTTTGCTTTCAATCAACCTTCGGCGCTTGACTTGGGCATTGCGAGCCAGACTGCTTCTGTGGAGGCCTTCAAGTCTTTCATCTGTCGTGTTGTCCAGGATACGCTTGTCCTTTGGGGACTTGACGTTTCGACTGCCTTCTTGTATGCCAAGTTGGTTCTTGATACCGTGCTTGAGTTGCCGGGATGCTTTCAGAACCTTGATGGCTCTAAGGTTTACGTCATCCTGGAGAAAGCCATATATGGCTTGAGATCGGCAGGCCTTTCGTGGCAGAAGCATCTTGCTGGACTTCTTGCTGAGTTGGGGTTGTTTCCCTCTCTTATTGAACCTACGTTGTACAAAGGGTATTGGGGAGACATCCTTGTGCTTTGTCTTGTGTACGTCGACGACATCTTGCTAGCCACAAGAACGAAAGAGGCAAACCAACAGCTTCTAGACTTCCTCATGGGCCGTCTTAAGGTCAAGTTGACTGGACGCTCGGATGAGGACGGCAGGATCGGATTCCTAGGCCGTGAGATAATCAAGCGTGGCCATGAGATCTTGTTGGCTGTGAAGAAAGAATACGTCGATTCGATCTTCGTGGCTTTTGGGTGGAGCCAGGAGAACCGCAGGAAGATGAAGCCCTGCACTGCACCACCAGACCTCCGATCGATCCTTGACAAGGAAGACAGGAAGACCCCGAGAAGCCCTCCGAAGAGCTCTCCCCTGAAGCCGCGAGCCGCTTTAGAAGCACCCTAGGGAAACTAGGCTGGCTTGTGCAAACCAGGGGGGATTTGTGTTATTTCCACTCCATGCTGTCTAGAGGTCAAGCCTGTCCGCGCGCTGTGCATGAGGATTGTATGCGTAAAGTGCTCCGTTGGCTTTTGGAGGTTCCCGATCTTGTTCAGGTCTTTCAAAAGGACGCCAAAGCCCGACCGGGAGTTGCAACCCTTGTTGGCTTCAGCGACGCTAATTGGGCCTCTGAGCGCTCTACTGGACGGAAGAGCACCAGCGGAGGAGTGATTTACCTTAATGGGAACTGCATCAAGACTTATTCGAGGCTCCAGCCTATCGTAGCACTCTCCAGTGCGGAATCTGAGCTTTTCGCGATGGTCGAGATGGCGCGCGAGCTTGTAGGATTGGGGCAACTTGTTGGCCACCTTTTCGAAAGCGTTGCGCAACCCCTATACCTGCCTACGGACAGCTCTTCCGCTCGCCAGGTCAGTATGATGTCCGGCTTCCTGAGAAGGATGCGTCATGTGGACCTTCGTCTTTGCTACTTGCAGGATAAGGTTGAGAACGGCGAGATCCTGGTTACACACGTCCCAGGAACGGATAACGTCGCCGACTTGCAAACAAAGAACTTGAGTGTCGCGCAAACTTGGTATCATATAGGACAGTTGTGTCTTGATGAACGTCTCACCCGTAGTGACTATCTTCGAGGTGATGCGCCCCCGGTCCGTTGCCTTGTGTTTGCCGCGTTCAAAGGTCTGTTTTCTGCAAGCGTCGATGATCCTTGGAGTGTGTTGGTTGGTCGTTGTCGGTTGCAGACACCGCATTACATTGTGATGGTCGAGTTCTGCGCCTCTGGAGAAGCCTGGTTGACTAAGCTTGCTAGCCACTATGGCATCCATGCTATTCCCGTGACGGAAGAAACGGATGGGACTCTTCCGGAGACCATCGAGCTCATTGAGCATGCGCTTCGTTCGGCGCACCGTCGGAACATGCATGTTGTTGTGTGTGCTTCGACGCCCTGTACCGGTGGTTCGCCTTGGCAGCGGTATCACCAAGCCCGATCTGCAGATCACTATGATGAAATGATGAAAGGACTTTTCACAGTCCACCGAAAGCTCTGGAAGAGCTTCTTGAAGCTAGTCAACACATCTGATTCGGCAACTTGGGTCATTGAGTGGCCGCAACGTTGTGCTTACTGGGGATGGTCCGCTACGAAGTCATTCCTTAAGATCAATCCGCATGAGACCGCTCTTGTGCATGGCTGCGCTTGCGGCATGGTTGGAATGGACGCACTTCCTGTGAAGAAGGTTTGGAGGTTGTGC